TCATTAGAGAAAAATAAACGAAACTCCATTGCTTCTTTAGAGATTGCTTTGTTTACGTTGAGATACAAAATCGAACAGGTATGAATGTTTCGAGAGTCTGGAGAAACATTTGCGTTTATAAGTCACTATTCGACTTTGCTTGATCGGCGACGCACACCGTGGCGGAGTCGATATAACCACCTCGGATCTAACGACGGTTTCTCCTGGCAAGGGGGCCGCAGATTCGAATCCTGTCGGTGAACTCATATTTTCTTTAATATTCGAATATTCAAGCCGGTATGCGAAAAGAAATAAATATGCAGTTTTTATAAATAAACGGGATATCTATTTAAACATGGGTACCCACTAAAAATAAAGTTTAAAATATATACGTGTGTGTGGGTGGTGTAAAATTCAGATATAAATAAAATATATGTCTCTTAAAAGATGATATTAATCAAGAAAAAGGAAAACATTTTTTTACCAACGCGTTTCGTTCTCAGACGGACTTTATCAAGGTAAATATAAAGATTTTATTTAAAAACTAGACTACCCGTGACTTGTTGGCTCACTGACAGTTTAGTTTATAAAACACTGAAGATAATTTCAGCATTAAAATATTGTCTGTTTGAAGAAAGTTGAAATAAAAAATACTTACTGTACAAACAGCTAGTATTTTTAAATCTTATTCACTTTATATAGTTTTTTTTAACTCACATTAACTTAAAAATATACTTTTAATATACCAAAATTATCTTAAAATCATATTCACTTGAAAATACTTTTTAAATATGGCAAAAAAATACTTTTTAAATATTTAAAATATTGTTTGTTTAAAGAAAGCTGAAATATAAGTAACCATGCACTAAATCTCAGAGATTGAAAGAGAGACGTTAAAAGAGAGAGACAGACAAGTGAGAAGAGAGAGAAAGAGGGAGGTGGAAAGATAGAGAGAGAGAGAGAGAGAGGTGGAGAGAGAGAGAGGTGGAAAGAGAGAGATAGAGGTGAAAAAGAGAGAGAGATTGAATGAGAGAGAAAGGGGAAAAAGAAGGAGAGGGGAAAAGAGAGACAAAGAGGTGGAAAGAAAGAGAGAGGTAAAAATAGAGCTGGAAAGAGATACATGGAAAGAGAGAGAGATGCAAAGAAGCTTAAACCATTAGACACACCATTCTATTATCTCCGCCTTCCTACACAATAATAAATTTACATCTTTCTTTCCCCCACTCTTTATATATGACTCCGTGTGCACGGAACTAACACACAAGCAAACAAGCAACCTAGCAAACAAACTGCCCAGAGTTTTAATATTATAAATATATATATTTATAAAGACAAATAAAAAATATGGTTTTCAAAATAGCGTGCTTAAATTTGAACACCTTGAAAAGCTAACAATGTTTTTACTTCCGCTCATAAATTCTCTTCTTCTGTGTGACGTGTCGTTTCACGACGTGTCTAGTCACGGCTCCCCACAATTTCCCGTCCTTTGTCTCTCTAAATAAATTTGGTCTTTGTTGTTATCTCTCCTAAACCCGGTTCTGTCAAACATTGTTAGAATATGCGTTATTTTCATCTATCCCTCTTGCCTGTGAGTATCAGATTCTCCGAGCTCTCTTTCCTCATTATGTGCCCAAGAAATTGCAACTGTTTGTTTCTGGTGCTACATATAAGTATCCTTTTTGTTTCTATTTCTTCTAAAACTTTGTCGTTGGGTCAATGGTGGTCTCATGTTCAGTCAATCGTATTCTCAGCATCCTTCTGCAGAGCGGCATTTTTTTTTTCCCATAAGGTATCTTCTCCAACATTTACTGGCATACAGGAGTACTGATATTACATAACAGTTCAGTATTCTTTTCTTTGTTTCATACTTATTGGTTATATTATGTGTTTGCCATGGCTTTAGGGCATAGACGGCCACAGGAGTTGAATCATTAAACGTTAACACAATACAAAGCTTAAGAAAGACTAAAGGTAAAGATAGCGAGTTACTGAATGAATATATGATATGAAATTAAGAGTAAGAAGTAGTAAAAATACAATAACAACTGACCCTCATGTTAAAGAGATTAAGCTTGTATTGTCCCGGGAAGCATCCCCGAGTCTCTTTCACAAAATGGCGGTTTTTGGGAAGAAAGTATCAGAGTTGAACATCTTCCTTACAAATGGAATAAACGAAGGCGATTCAAAGCCGTAGATATCACGGGGCATGTCTTGGCTGTAAAGACGTTGTAGAGCAGACAGAAACCCTTCTGCACTCTACCAGATGGCCCGGCTCATAACCTTAAACAGTCTACGATTAAGGACTTCAACAGTTGATTAATAATATAATTAATAATAATGATTATAATTAATAATTATAATTAATTATGATATATGATTAATATATAATTAACTAATATATAATATAATTAACATACATATAATATATATATATATATATATATATAATGCATATAATAATATATAATATAATATATATATCATATATATATATAATGTATTAATATATATAATGTAATTAACATATATATATAATACATATATAATAATATATATAATATTATATATATATATATATTATATATATATAATATAATTAACATATATAATATATATAATATATATATATACATAATATAATATATATAAAACATAATATAATATATATATATTGATATATATATAATATAATTAACATATAGATATATATATATATATATATATATATAATATATATATATATATATATATATATATATATATATATATATATATATATTATATATATATATATAATATAATTAATATATAATATATATTAGTATATATATATATATTAGTATATATATATATAATATAATTAATATATAAAATATATAGATATATATGATATATATATATATATATATATATATATATATATATATGATATATATATATATATATATATATATATATATATATATATATATATATATATATATATATATATATATATATATAATATAATATAATTAATATATAAAAATAAAATTTATAGTTTTCCGAGTTGTCGTACCTTCGTAATCACCATTAGATTCATCCAACTCTTTCCGAATCCTCTGCATTGTCCTCAGATTGACACCAAAACACTCTGAAATGTTCATATTGGAACTTCCGGCGCGAATGCCAAGTGGTGCTGTATGCCGTTTCCAAATTTCTAGCGGAGTGAATTGCGTCATGCTTCTCTTTTTCCCACAGACGATGCCCAACTGACCCTATTATACTGTGCAGTCGACCAAACCAAAAACAAACAACGCGCATGCGTGAAATTAAAAATATAAAATGGCGACCATTTACCCATCGCAAAATGTAAATTCTAAGGAACATTTATGTACACTAGTAAAATAAATCAGGATAAACCATTTAAAAATATGTAATTAATAAATTCAAAAAAAGTCCAGATTTATTTAATGAGACTCTTGTGGTTGAGGTTACTGAAAAAGTTAATACTGCTAATCCTTCCTTTATATGTAATCCTTATATAAACATTATGCAATATTAAGTTATATATTATTATTATTATTTTATTTTTTAATATTTTTTATTAATTTATTTTTAATATATTAATATTTTATTTCTGTAGATTACTGTAGAAATTTCAATTCTCAATTGTAACAACCGTTCCAAAGTGAAATTGCTTTATTGACCACTAAAATATTACCGTGTCGCTTTATTTGCTATTTTTTTTTGTGTGTTTAACCCCATTGTCCATATGGACCCCGGTTGAGAACTTCTGATTTAAATGTTTACATTTTAGACTCTCGAGTGATGGAGGAAGGTCAAATTTCACGTCATTTATGTTTCGTTTATTTTTTAGTCTAGATTTACCTTTTTTTTTTTAGACAGCTTCTACGGTCTAACTCAGTGACCGACGTTTGTGTCTTCCGCTACAACTTACTTTCGCTACAACTTACTTTCGCTACAACTTACTTCCGGTTAATGGCGCTGTCATGTGACAAAATGTAAACACCTGACATTAACTCTGTTCTATTCACAGTGCTCCGTTTCTGACTATCATTTTAATATAGGGGAGGCGCCAGTCTGAGCAGATAGGGAGCACAAGCGAAAAAAAAAAAAAAAAAAATGGCTCGGAGCCACTTATCCAGAAGGTTTTTGAGAAACCCGAAAACAAAATAAGTATTATGAAATGGACAAATTCCGACAATTATTTTAAGACATTTTTTATGTTTATACATTCTTTTTATAGATACAAATATTTAAGTAAATGCTCTGTTTATAATAAACAGTATTAACAACATTTAACGGCCTGAATGTCCGAGAAATTTTCATAGGAAAAAGCACGTCAGACTATATGACGGTTCCGTAAAGGATAAAGGTTCGATTACTGTCGGAGGACGCATATTTTCTGTTAGGGTCCCACCTATGGGCAAATAGTTAACCCCCAAACTGGGGTCAAAACACTATGAAAGTATAAAAAAGATCTTTATATTAAAAATACCACCGATATATTAAAAAATATTACTAGCAATAAATTTGACTAAATAAAAATCATCTTCATAAAAATACGGCAATGAAACCTGGTTTACAAACTGATTTCTTACAACAAATATATATTTTATTTATACGAACCTATCCTAAAAAATCTTGTCGGCATTAAATAACCCATTGAGGTTTATATGCCGTAAAACAAAATAAACAGAAAAAAATAGGTCAATTAAACCTGATCTAAATACTGATTTCTTTCAAAGAATACATATTCTACTCATACAAACTATCCTATTCCGGCTTTAAATAACCCATTGAGGCGTTGATATGATGGAACTTACTGGAACGGTACAATGAACCGACCATTTCCCCAGCATGTTTAGCAATCTGAATGCATGGGTATTATCCGAAGAAGGTAGAACAGGGTCAGACGGTAAAAATCTAAAAGTCAAAGCCATAAAAAACCGGAAAGAAACGTTAGATAAAATAAGCAGTGATTCTCAACGGGACCGTTAATATCTCTTGGGAGCAATATGAACACGCAAGGGGGCAGTAAGTACTCAGGTGAGTTAGGAGTCGTTATAATTTTAACGGGGTAGCAAGAGGAGTTAAATAGTTTAACGCTGATTTGGGTAAATGAAAACATTTTCTACGCGCATTTATTTATATTTTTGCCTTTATATTTGCATTTTTAGACGTATTTTAAACATTTAGACGCAATTGAAATTTTCTTTAGAAGCAAAGAAAAGAAATATTAAAAAACAAAAACAAAAAAAAAACAGTTATGTAATATGGCGGCGAATGCCGGACAATTGCAACAAAGATGAAGAGACTTGAAGCGACAGGAATGTGGTTCTACAGAAGGAGGATGAGAATACCATTGACCGATCATGTGATGTTGTTTGTAAATGTTTAACTCTTTTGTCTCCGACGTCTTCACTTATCATTTCTTCTCTGTCATTATTTACTCTTCTCATATATATATATATATATTATTTACTCTTCTCTTATATATATACCCAAGTGTAGGATTTGTGTATACGGAATAAATTCCAATAACCAACAAATACTATTCTTAAGAGTGATCAATACGGCGTAGAGCAAATATTCTACATTCAACACCATCACTTGATAAGACACCAGAAGTATTGAAACAAAATGGTTATTTTTGTAGTGATTTTTATGTTATAATTTTCGAATAAATGATTATATATATATATATATATATATATATATATATATATATATATATATATATATATATACCCAAGGTAGCTTCAAAAAACGTTATTATAACCATCTAAGTACTTTTTTAATCACGAAACCTGTAGACATAGTACAAGCTTGTCTACTTCCATAAGGGATATAAAGCAAGAGGATAATAGTGACTCCATTTTGAAATGGGAAACGCCATAAATATAAGGCAGGCGGACATGTTTTGCTGGTTATGTATGGAAGAAAAATCAGTAATTGTCACTTATAAGAAACCTAAGTATTTATTAAATAAAAAGATCCGAGATACTTAATAAGTGTAGGCATAGGAGAATCTGGATATTAGAATAGTGTTTTGGGTTTTCTTCTCTCTGTTTTTTTTTGTCACGTGGCTTTGTGTTTTTAATGGTTTTATCAATAAATACTATTTCGCCATTTCCTTTTTTTAGCCAGTTTATCCTGAAGATCCGTTTAGGTGAAACCTAGGTCGGTTGTTCCTGGCTCGTTAGGATTTATTCTAATTTACCGCTCTACTTACCGTATTGAGCACTCTACGTTTTAGTCTTTATACTCGCTTGGTTTTTTTTTCTTTGGACTAAGGACTTAAGACACTTGACGATTTGTTTCGCCTTGTTCGGATGTTTATAGTTGTTTTTTTACTTCCAATTTTTTTCTCGGGTACCGATTTGCCCTCAGTTGAGGTTTTTAAGCGAGTAATGCTGTTAATATATATATATATATATATATATATATATATATATATAGTATTTATTCAAAGTCATTTTGTTTCGACACTTCTGGTCTCTTGTGAAGTGATGGTGTTGATTATAGAATAAAGCGTTTTAAAAGGATTAAAATCAATCAAACACCTCTCAATAGAGGAAATATGGTTGCGTAAGCTATTTAAAAAAAAAATATATATTTTATTATTTATTTGTTGTTTTAATTGAAAATCTCCTTAGATTAAAAAACGCTAATCTAAGGAGATTCAAACATCCTAAGAACTTAGATGCAATTGAAGGGATCTGAATTCCTATGATGTTGGCATGGGAAGAAGTTTTACAAATGACAAGACAAACTATCACATCATAATACACAAACACGTAAATATACTTAGATATATAAACACGCAAAAACACGGACGACACAGGAAATAGAGAAATCAATGTCAAAAATATCAGACACATATGCATACAATTAAAAGCATATACATGCAATCACATACTAATAAAGACATAGACAAGCGTACCACGAATCAAAGTATTAATAAGCGAGTACAAATCAACAATCAAAATGTGCATACATCGGCAAAGATAGATAAAAAGAGGGTTTAATTGATGTAAGTTAAGAAGTGTAGTGCTGAAGAACAAATATTCGGCTATGAACAAAACAAAGAAAAAAGACATTAAAGCATATACATACAAATGAGCAAACACAATATATAAGCATAGACTTATAAAAAAATAAAAGCCAAATTCGCATGCTCAAACAAAATATAACACAGAAAATAAGAACCCATTTATATACGGAAATGAAAAACATATTTACACACATATATAGATGTACACACGTACATACCAATATATGTACGGGTGCACGTTGAATCCATACACGGACATAAATATATGAAGACATACATAAATAAATACATAAATACATGCATACATACATGCATATATATATATATATATATATATATATATATATATATATATATATACATACGCATACATATACACATATATAAGCGTACACATTCATAGAAACACAAACATATCAACCCACACTCCTATATATAAAAACACACAAATATACCAACAGTCAGGCACACATGCACAAATGCAAGTACCTAAGTGTATACACCCATATAAACAGAAGTAGAAACATACGTAGAGTCTTATCTAAATGACTATAATGAATTCCGAGCCCATTCAAAATGTATGTATAATGAATCACAACTGTTTACTATTAAGTTAACTAGCTATTCTAAATAAAATCTCTATCAAAGAAATGGAGATTATAGTTAGCATCAATAGACTATTTAAAAATAAAAGATATACATATGTATATATATATCTATATTTCTGAGTTGAGGTATTATGTACACTATTTACATTATTCAGTCTATTGTCCTCACCTTTGTCGCCATATTTATTACAACGTTTCGGCCGTTGTACGCTCCGGTCTTCTTCAGGTGTTTGGAATGTCGAACTGAACCTTTTATTTCGCTTAATGGGGTAGACTGTTCTAGTTCCACGTGCCATGTTTAATGGATGTCAGTTGTCAGTTATCTCCTGTTAATTCCCCTCTCCAAGTTCTCCACTGCCTTAACCGGACACATGGCACAGTCGATAAAGGTGTTAGTTAGATCCAGTGACAGGACCCAAAGAGTGTGAGTTCAATACCTGGTTTTAGTTAATTTCCATTCAACTGTAGGTGTATTTTGTTTTTCTCTTTTAAACTCCGAAAATACTTGAACAACGTCGTCTTGTTTTTACGATTACTATTGTTGAAAGATTGTACATGTCGATACCAACGGTCTTTGAACATATTCATAGTACTTCCAATGTAATTTTTTTAAATATTGGCTTTTTCAAGTGTAGAAATAGTACTGACATAAATTAGAGAACTAGCTAAATAATTGTTCTGTAGTGGGTAATTATTGGGATTCTTACAATTACACATTTTTTTTTATTATTTTTATTATAGTATTACTCGCCACAACATTGCAATTAATCAAGTTGAGTTCCTATACTTGTTGAAGACTGTTAGGCATTTTAATTATTTTTTCCAGGTTATCAGCAAAACTGTAGCTTAATTTAAGCGTATTACAATTGAATATTTTATTGAGTGGATTGGTTTTGGGGAAATGTTTTTTTTATAAGATTTAGAAATTTATGTCCTAATTTGGTTTTAACCATTAGGTAGAAAGAGCGAGTAAACCAGATGATCTTTCTAGATTTTCTTTTCTTATTGTGGTCATAATTAATAGGATTTCCATATTCAATAATGGTACCACTATTCCTAAGGGGAGAATAATAAAATTCACTGCGTTTATTAAGGTACATATACATATACAGCTAGAAGAGTTTGCACTGATTCTAAATTCAGTGAAGGAGGGTATGTGCTTAATAACAGAAATGGGTGGTTGAATTAGGATTTACATATACTGGGTTAGAATTAACCTTCATATAAGGTTGAATATATATATATATATATATATATATATATATATATATATATATATATATAATTATGGGTTCTCCTGTCGTTTTTGACGTATGAGTGTCAAGTAACGCAGTTCCTCGGAACCGACAGCCAGACTTCCCCACAAATGACTTGATCACAGTAGTGAAGGAAAAAGCAGAACCAACCACACTTTTTGAAAAGCTGGCAACAGAGACCTGGTGCACCGTGTGCCACAAGGTCGCCAGACGACCCTCCGCAAGCTTTGAATTTAGAATTGTCCCTCTCCTAGACCAGTTGCCATCCAATGCTATAGAGCCAAGTATGTCATGCTATTTATCCATAGCTGGTGAAAAAAGAGGATCCATATCTTTCCCAAGTGTATTAGTACGTAAGTGAATGTAATGAATTCGACTGGAATTCGAACTCCGATTCCTTAATCCGAGCCGCTATCCACTACTCCAACGTGCTTCCTGTATATATATATATATATATATATATATATATATATATATATATATATATATATATATATATATATGAAGAAAAATATACGGAAAAAAAACAAACAAAAATCATAATATGCAATTATGCTGTTTTAATGTTAATATAATGTCAACTTCGGATGTTTCGGTCTAGTAGACCATCTTCAGGACATATTCATAAAATATAATTAACATTAGACTATATTTAATTCAACATGAAAAGAAGATGGGTATAAGAGTAAGACTAATCAAAACAGACAACTGAAATTTTTCAAGATCAACGTTCCGTTTCAATATCACGTGACGCCGACGTGATCATATTGAAACGGAACGCTGATCTTGAAAATTCATTCACCCTCTACCATCTACACCTACACAACCCATCTCAAGGGAATGACTTCCGCTTTGCTTGGACCCTTCACTCCTTATCCCCTTCTATTACAACCCCAACCGAAACTCAGCGTATTTGGTCGTTGAATTCGAGATGTATTTCAGAGTCGGCTGTAATTTTTCACTAATTCACCAATTATATCAAATCTGGCAAGAAGCATATGAAAACCGATTTGAAAGTAAGATGGAAATCCTTGTGCTATAATGATGTTCGTAAATGTTTAATTCTTTGTTACTATTGTATATATTTATTTCTTTTTTCTTTTGTTTTTCTTTTGTTGGTTTTTGTATTCAGTCTCACTCCCAACTTGTTCAATTTAGAATATCCTTATCCACTGTTATTTATCAATGTTGAAAATTAACATCTACAATCTTGATTTTTTATTTGGTAGTAGACATCAGAAGTTATATTAAGTGATTACTTAATATGAATTCTGCCGCATTTTTTTTCTCCATTGTTGACAGGCAATTAGGAGTAGATAGGCTCAACTATCGTCAGTCCGCACTTTTTCTATGTCTACTGAACACAAGTAGATGTTCATCTCTTGTTCCCTGTTCAGGATATAGTTTACCAGTTCTCTTTCTTTCTTTCTTTCTTTCTTTCTTTCTTTCTTTCTTTCTTTCTTTCTTTCTTTTTACCACAATGACAGTGATTTAACTGTTTTCATTTTTTGTGATCAGACTAATCTGTGGTTGGGACTTTCCATTATGAGGTTCCGGGTTGGCAGTTTGCTGGCTGTTGCTTCCGTGTGGTCGTTAGGAGCCCCTCTTTGATATCGCGCTTAGAGAGGCTTCTCGGATCAACAGTCACATTATATAAGAGTATCTGTAGTGCCATGTCGCGCATGGATAGGTGTCTCTGCATGTATTTCCGGTTGGCAACCCTGAGGCTGGTTTGTATTGCCATTGACGACAGATAGTGACAGTTATAGCGGTCTTTTTCTTCTCTCCCCAAAACATGTCTCATGAAAATCACAACAAAAACATATTAAACTAAATCACCTACCCACATCAATCTTTCTTTCGTTGTATCCATTCCAACTTCTGCAGCGTAAAATCCGTCCTCTTGGAACGGTCGCCAGATATCGTTGCCCTTTATGAAATCAACTAGAATTCTTCCATTGCGACCAATGCATTCTTGGTTCTTTTTTGCCGTAAAGATTCCAGCATTCACATGCAAGCTCTTGGTGTTTACATCCGGGATAATCTGCCGATGGCCAGAGAATTGTCGCTGACTACACTTTGATCTGCTTCCGTCTTTCGCTACTAAACTCTGCCAGGTATTTCTTTTTCCTTTATGCCCTCTCCCCACACTCTTCCCAAGACTACAGTATATTAGACGCAATAGCTGTCAGTATAGAAAAGGCACTTTCTCCCCATCCATCTGCGAACATTTTTGCATTCGGTGACTTTAATACTGACAACGACACATGGCCGAAACATTCTAAGAGTTTCTGATGTTGCCGGTATACACACATTAAGTGTTTCCATTGCCCAATCCCTCACTTAAATCATGGACTTTCCTCCTGCTAAACCGAGGAACAGGATTCTCTAGTGGATCTATTTCTTACCACCTCTCCTTGCTCTTGCCGAGCTTCACATTACGACCCTTTAGGTAACTAGGACAACTCTGTGGTAGTTATTGATCTCTCCTTTCAAGTATCCATTAAATAGAAACCCCCCTATCCATAAGACATCTTTCCATCACCAGTATGCTGATTGATACCGGGATTTTTCTTCATGACTCTCTTTGGATTGACATCTTCAAACTCCCAATTGAAAATTCCGCCATTAAGGTTTCTTCTTGGGTCAAAGCCGGTATGGACGCTTTCATCCTGACTCGGAAATACCAGGTGAAACCGCAATCCTCTTTATGGTTCGCACCAGTATTCTCGGCCGCCATAGCACACAGCAACCACTATTCCCTTATTACTTATCCCTCATTCAAATCATGGACTTCCCTACTTGTTTCCCTAGTCAAACCGAGCAGCCAGGCTTCTTTAGTGGATCTATTTCTTACCTCCTCTCCTCGTTCTCGCCGAGCTTCACAGTAATGCCCCCTTGGTAATTCAGACCACTCTGTGGTAGCTATTGATATCTCCTTCCAAGCATCCACTAAAACGAACCCCTTATCTATAAGACCTCTTTCCGTTACCAGCATCCTGATTGGGACTCATTCTGGCATTTTATTCGTGACGCCCATTGGATTGACATCTTCAACCGCCCAATTGAAAATTGCACCACTGAGGTTTCTTCTTCGGTCAAAGCCGTCATGGACACTTTCATCCTTTCTCAGAAATACCAGGTGAAATCGCAAACGCCTGTATGGTTCACACCATCATGCTCGGCCGCCATAGCACAGAGCAACAACTATTTCCGGCTATAGCAGCGTGACAGCTCTTGTCATAACAGGGGCTTATTTGCTGTTGCTCGTAACACATGTAAGGTTGTCCCCGAAGGAGCTAATTCCGTATTTGCTGAAAGAATGAGACAGCGCATAGCGTCTAAAAACTTCGACTCCCGTGATTACTGGCGGCTCTGTAATAGGGTTCTAAATAATTGAAAGGTCTCCATTTCCGCTCTTCAATCGGTTTGAGGTTTTATCAGATGATAAAACTGAATGCTTTGCTCGTAAATTCTTCTCAAATTCTACTCATGACTCATCTGAAGTATTCCCGCTTAACTTCCCATCTGGTCTGTTGGATGATATAAATATAACCCCTTCCATGGTATCTGGTATCATCTGGATCCCCAGAAAGCATACAGACCCGATGGTATCCCTGTAATAGTCATTAAGATGTGTGCTCCCGAACTGGCTCATGTTCTCTCTAAATTGTATAATAAATGACTCGCTGCCTCTTGCTTGCCTGCTTAATGGAAGTTATCATCTGTTGTTCAAGTTTTTAATACCGCCCGACCTATCTATCGGCCTATTAGCATTTTACCTCTTTTGGGGAAGAGCTCCTAGAGGCGCTAATCAATGTTGAATTGGTTCGTCATCTCTCATCGTATAACCTTTTCTCAGACAAGCAACACAGCTTTCGTTTTTCAAGGTCAACTGATGTGATAATGATAATTGCGGGAAGAGTCTATCATGCTCTAGATAAAAACAGTAAAGCCCGAGCTGTAGCATTGGACATATCGAAAGCCTTTGACAGGGTGTGGCATTCACATCTTCTCCACAAGCTGAAAAGTTACGATATCTCCGGGTACATTTTTTGAGCTGATTCAGTCGTTCCCATCAAATCGTGAAATGAAAGTTATCCCGAACGGCCACTCCTCTACATCCTTTCGTACTAAGGCGAGTGTCCTCAAAGGCTCCATTCTTACTCCTACGCTTGTTTTTAATCTTCATTAACGACTTTCCCGATGATATCAGCTCTCAACTTGGCATCTAAGCTGACGACGACACTACCATTTACTCCTGCCTCGGTAAGTAAGGTTGAACAATCCGACAAGATCAAAATTGTAGATGATGTCCAAAAGAAGCTCGAAACCATCGTTAACAGGGGCAAAAAATTGTTTGTCAATTTTAACGGCTCCAAAACAAACTTCTCTCCATTAATCATCTGAGAGACTCAGACTTCCATTAAACATGGCTGATGCTAACCTCCAGAAAAGGGACTCATTGCACCTTTTAGGGCTAACATTCTCAGCTGACATGAAGTGGAAAGACTATATTGAATGCATTGCTAGGTCAGCTGCTAAGAAACTAAACTTCTCTCCATTAAACATGGCTGATGCTAACCTCCAGGGAAGAGACTCATTGCATCTTTTAGGGCTAACATTCTCAGCCGACATGAAGTGGAAAGACTATATTGAATGCATTGCTAGGCCAGCTGTTAAGAAATTCGGAACACTGTACCGTGCTAGACAATTTTTCTCTGCAGAATCTTTCTTACATATCTATAAGTCTACCATTCATCCATGCTTGGGACATTGCTACCATATATGGTCCGGTGCGCCTGCTATTTACCTGGAACTCCTTGATAAGATCCATAGAAGAATCAGCAATATTACCGGTCCTGATCTGGCGACTCGGTTTCTGTCACTTTCCCACCGCTGTAAAGTTGCTTCTCTGTACCTTTCTTATAAATACTTTCATGGTAATTGTTCTGATGAGCTCTTCGCTACGTTTTCCCTCCCCCACAGACAATGAACTGTATATATGAGGACTAGTTAGTATTTTCATAGAGACAATTATGGTGGATGTAGTAAGAAAGGTACGTATGAATGTGTTATTTTGGTGTAAGGAATATTGTTTGTATGATTGGGTCAGTGTTTGTGGCTAGCTAAGTTATCGTTAAAACAGAAAAAAAAAGTCCTTTCCCCAATCCTCCTTTCGGCATTGTGCCACATTTCTGTGCACATAACAGAATGAATATTGCTCTTCGCTATGGTATCTAGACTGTATGAATTAAACCCCAATACTAGAAGCGGAGGTTGGAAATGAAATGGTAATCTTTATAACATCAACAAAATAAAATACTCGCCAACGGCGTGAAGTAGGTAAACCACTGGTAGTGGTGGACTACTTAGTCAGCAGATTACTCCCACTGACAATCGTGTCCAGCGTATTTATGAGGATTGTGACATACCCATTAGTGTTCATAGTTACGGTATATAACAAACCCCTTGCGGGATAATGGCTGTACTGCCTAGCTTGAAGTGATGCCGATTAAAAAATGTGTGAAACATCCAACTTTTACAGAAAATGGAATCACAAATGGAAATAGAAAAAAAGTACACATATAATGAACATCAGGAAGAGATTGTTGAAATTTCTAGAACACATAATGAGGAAAGAGGGTTAGGAAAATTTGAAACTCACAGTACAGAGAGCGTTTGTAGGTGTAGATAATATCTATCTATCTATCTATCTATCTATCTATCTATCTATCTATCTATCTATCTAGTTTTATGTGAACTTAGAGCAAACAAGCGTACTATAGCGTATAATGTTTACTCAAAACAAAAACTTAAGTGCAGATAATAATAATAATAATAACTCGAGAAAATCCTATCTTGCAGACATTTTATTAATAAATTTATTTTAACTGTTAGTGAACAAATGAAAATATTTGAAACTGATAACTTCTCTCATTTCACTGAAATATTTCCATCTTCCCGAATTTATTTCTTCTTCTTTCTTTCATTTTCTCACTGAAACCAAGTAGCGTCTCTGATAAGTCAGTTCCGTGTTTTCGTGCGGTCAAAACGGAATAATTCATTATTTAGTAGGTATTAGCAGATTGTAATGGTCGTGCTAACTAATTAAGATACTAACTAACAAAAGGAGAGAGTAGCATAATAATAATAATAATAATAATAATAATAATACTAAAATCCATGAATATTTTAGTCTTTGTAGGATATCGATGGTTTTTATTAGCCCAGGTTCCTGATAAATAAAGTTATAAATTGTAATGTAGGCACTTTTTTAGTGGAAAAATACAGGGACTTTGTCGCCTGAACGCCATCATTTATATGTGAATATGGAAATTTTTAGAACATTCTTGGCGAGTTGATGTCGTGTTGGGGTGAGGGTGGGTGTTGAATGTGAGCCTTATAAAGTTTCAGTTTCTTGTTTGTTTTAGAATTTTGACTTTCCAGTAACACGACAGACCTGTTTATTTATATAACTTTTCAGATTTTACAGCCACCGATCATTGTCAGGCTGTTGTTGTCGTCGTGGTTGTTGTTGTTGTTGTTATTCACTTGAGTTTTAATTTCACCTGATAACAGACGAATGACATTTGCTTATTCAACCATTGAGATATTTTTCTTTCTTTTTTTCTTTTTATCCGAGTTTTTCTTTCTTTCTTTTTTCTATCTATTCCTGTTTTCGCCTTCTTTCTTTCTTTCTTTTTTTTCTTTCTTTCTTTCTTTCTTTCTTTCTTTCTTTCTTCCTTCCTTCCTTCCTTTCTTTCTTTCTTTCTTTCTTTGTCAGCTTTCCACCTTTCTTCTCTTTCTATCACAGTCTCTTCTTATCTATTATAATCTGTTAATATTTTTCTTTCACTCACTCACTCACTCACTCACTCACTCACTCACTCACTCACTCACTATCTATCTATCTATCTATCTATCTCATTCTGTTCATATCTATCTATCTATCTATTCTATCTATCTATCTATCTATCTATCTATCTCATTCTGTTCATATCTATCTATCTATCTATCTATCTATCTATCTATCTATCTATCTATCTATCTATCTATCTATCTAAGGCAATATTTTGTGATCTAAAAGAGTAACCTTTTCCTAGATGGTTTCAATTGTTGGTGTTCAATTTTCCGTAGAACCCTTGAATTATAATACTGGCTGAAATTATCCATTTGAAAAAAATCGCAAAATTCAACCTTTGTAATCCTTAAACATACCCTAAATTCATCTAAGATATTTTGTATCTACGTCGTATATCATCCACCTAACTAAGTATGTAAGCAGGATATCGATTTTGAATACACTGACACCATTTATTCAGAAAGCAGTTCCCTAAAGATAACGCTCTTGTTGGACAAGTGCAAGAGTAGCTTTCGTCGCTTAACGCCAGGTTCTTCGACGGGGTATGGTGGTAGTTATTGGGGTTAATTTCACAATTACTAGATGCTTTACAAAAATAATGGTAGGACAATCTTCACATGTCGAAGGAGACTGCTCATTATCGGGGGGGGATATCGTCTGCAGACAGAAATAAAAAAAAAGACGTAGAATAGTGATAAGCATAACTTACAGAGTTACTATGCAGCGAAAGCAGTGTAAAGGATCGTCAGACATGATTACCTGATAGCCTACAGGAAATTCTTTGGCCACTCGATTTCTATCTTATATTCACTTACTTATACCTAATACAGGGCCCAGGAGTCACTCAAGTTAGTGAGTTACTGAACGAGATATGTGCTATGAATGTAAAAGGAAAAACAGGAAGTTAAGATGACTAGGAGTGTGGTGAATATATATCGATTGACCCTAGATTTGAAGAGGATTTAAAGTGTAGTGTTCCCCGCAGGAGTCTGTTCCAACAAAATGGCGGTACTTGCGAAGAACCTCTTTCTTACCAAGGAGATGTGTCCTCCAGTAGGGCTCGAATCTGCGCCTCCTTTGAAATCACCATTTGATCCGGCGAGCGTTAGACTGCTCGGTCACAGAGAATGTCACAGCCCAGCAACTGTTTAAAGAACGGATATAGTTGCAACGATAACATAACACAAGTATAAAAAAGCACAACAGAAACAAAACTAACAAGGCACCCGCAAACAGCAAATCCACCTGTAACTGCAGAGCAAATAATGAATGTCCCTTAAATGGCATTTGTTTGCAAAACAATATAATATACCAAGCCATTGTAAAATTAGCAGATAATGAAGAAACATATACATAAGAATAAGTGAAGACCTCTGAAAAGAGAGAAATTACATACACAAAATATTTAAAAATAGCAAATACGCGAACAGCACAATGCTTTCTAAACATACGTGGAAAATTAAAAAACATAATACCAAATTACACCAAAAATTATTAATGGAAATGAGGAAAACGGCATCAGCCTACAACAATAAATCCCAAAACTGTAAACTCTGTCTGGAGGAGAAAATACCTATAATCACCTTCCAAGATCAAAACAAACTACTAAATAAACGATCAGAACTCATCTCAAAAGACAGACACGAAAACAAACTTTATTACGTTACTTAAAAATCGAATACTAAAAACGAATATTTTGTAAAATACCACAACAAAAAATGCAAATATATGCAAATATATGCAAATATATGTGCTATATACAACGCAGATAATGTGATACACTTTTAAACAAATTCAATACATTAAACTAATGATAACCAGCAGGCGTGAAAAAAAGACGTAATAAATAAACAAATTAACAAACTAGTATATGGAATAATAATAATAATAATAGTAATAAATAACAAATAATTAAATAATCAATAATAAATAATGAGTAAAACTTAATAAACAACATTATAAAGCAGCTTCAAATAACTGCATTCAAATCCACACGTCCTGGGTATGACGATAAACTGCATCCGCATCCTAGGTAAGATGGTTACCTACGCCCAACAGCAAGGCCTCTGATCAGGAGGTTTTGAGGAACGTGGAACCACCTCTTAATTGCTGATGTTCCCAGGTCCACCCTGACCCGGGGTGGTAGCAACTGTTAGGGTCCCAGCTATGGGCAAATAGTTAAACCCCACCCCAAACCGGATTAAAACACTATGAAAATGTAAAAATGGGTTTTAATACCAGAAATACTTTGTATAAAAAATTATTACCATCAATACATTTTTGAAAAACAAATATTACCAGAAATAGATTTTTGAAGGAAAAAATATTACCAGAAATAGATTTTTGAAGGAAAAAATATCACCAGAAATAGATTTTTGGAAAAAAAAAATTGGCAACAATGAAAATTTTGTCGGCATTAAATAAGCCATTGAGGTTGATATGCCGTAAAAAAAAACCCATCAAATCCACAATTATTTCTACTCAATAGCCTCGTGAATAACTTGAGACATAACTGTCACTGTCCACCCAATAACCATAGGGATAATAACATAAGCCTTACTACCCATAATGCACCACTGACTAGCATCAAGATGTTGAACCAAACTGCTTGTTATTGGGAAAGCATGCTGTTTTATATCTGTAGTTTAATAGTTGCTGGCCCCCAGGCACATCATTTTCCTTTTCTTTTTTCTTTTTTTTTTTGGCAAACCAAGTTCATGATTTTGTATTGTATTTTAGACTTTTGTAGGGATTTGTTTTGTGGATGTGATGTTCAAAGCCTCTTTTGGGTTTTGCTTTCTTAGTGCACACATCCAGCAGACATGTCTGGTGAAATGTATTTGGAAATTAGAAAGAGATCTTCATAAAAATAGTATAACAGCTTATGATATAAATAAAGTTAAATATTCACATATAAACACAAATAAACGTAATAATAATAATAATAATCAATAACACATGATTAAGAAATCAATAGAATAAATAATGAGTAATAACTTAATAAACAGCATTATAAAACAGTTTCAAAGAACTGCATAAAATCCACAATTATTCCTACTCACTAGCCTTGAGAATAACTTGAAAAAAAAAACGTTACTAACCTGAAGATTGTGTTTTAGTATGAAATACATTGTCGCCGCTTGGTTATATATATATATATATATATATATATATATATATATATATATATATATATATATATCAAATTTTTAATATATGAAATGAATACGTAGGTAATGCGGGTGACTCAGCTCTGCGGACGCGGATCATGGTAGGTCTTAGCTGCAAAACAACGAGTTAGTAGCATAAAAATAGAGCTTGTAAAAATAGAGATAAGCCCGAGACGTCTGTAGGGAAGGAATTGTAGGGTGGAAAATAATTAATCACCCATAAGAATCTATCTATCTATCTATCTATCTATCTATCTATCTATCTATCTATCTCAGTTTGTTATCTATCTATCTATCTATCTATCTATCTATCTATCTATCTATCTATCTATCTATCTATGTATTTCAAACTGTTCATTATCTTTCTTTTTTCTCTCTTTATCTGAACCTGTTCATTATCCAAGTCAAACTGTTCATTATCTATCTATCTATCTATATCTATCTATCTATCTATCTGAGTTTGTTAATGTCATCTATTATCTATCTATCTATCTATCTATCTATCTATCTATCTATCTATCTATCTATCTTATCTAAAATTTAAAAAGAACTTATCTATCTATAGAATTTTAGAATGGCTTCTAAAAAATCCAGGAAAATGAACAAGTGTATGTCATTAATTCTCGAGCGAATTTCACGAACTAATCTTGATTAGGCTTATCACTACGTGTTTATCGAAGCATTCCTTAATTTTCGTTATACACTTAATCCATTCCAAATGTATCAAGGCGGGGAAAGTTATTTCTGAAGGGACGAAACATGCGGTAATGCTCTCCTCTATCCATATATTTTACTTAAAGAATTATCATCAATAATTATATCTATCTTTTGTTGCTTGTTTTTTTTGTGTTTATAAAATATCTATCTATCTATCTATCTATCTATCTCATGTGATAACTTATGTAAAATTTAAAAGAACTTACCTCATGCCATATAATAGCAATATAGAATTTTAGAATGGAAAATATCAAAAAAATCCAGGAAAATGTAAACAATTTGGCCTTATGTCAGATGTCATTAATTCTCGAGCGAATTTCAGACGAACCAAAGAAAATATCAATCTTGATTAGGCTTGTGTCAGACTCAGGTAACCAAAGAAATATCACGACCTTGTTTATCAAAGCATTCCTTAATTTTCGTAACAAAAGAAAATATCAATTAATCCATTCCAAATGTATCAAGGCCTTGTGGGTAAAGTTATTTATGATACTGGGTAAACAATGTAAATGTCAATTTGGCCTTGTGTCAGACTCAGGTAACCAAAGAAAATATCAATCTGACCTTATGCCATATAACCAATGTAAATATATTTTTAACTTAAAGAAATTATCATCTGACCTTAATTATATTGCCTAGATTTAACCAAAGAAAATATCAATTTTCTTCAATTATTTTGGCCTTTGCTTGTTATCACCTGACCTAGTAGTTATATAATAACCAATTAAATTTTCCAAACTCTAAAATGAAATATCAATTTTGCCATAGTGTAACCAATAAATTTTAATTGTGTTTTACAAAGAAAATATTGACCTTCTTATATTGTTGTTTGTCAATTTGGCCTTGTGTCCTAGTAACAAAAGATTAGCCATACTGGGATAATAATAAAATCAATTTTGTTTACCAAGTTCTGAAATGAACACTTATACTTCGTAATAATTCGAATTAGTTTTATTTTTCTCCTTAATTTGTAGCTTGTTTTCACCTAATAGTATTAGATATAATCGCCTTAATTTTACCAAATTCTGAAATTAATAATTTTGATTGGTAATAATTTTAATTAGTTACTTTTATTATTATTTTATTTCTGTTTCCACCTAGTAGTATTAGATATAATAGGCTTAAGTTTTCCAAACTCTTAAAGCAACAATTGTCATTAGTAATGTTAATAAGATTTTCTTTTCATTTTATAGTTTTTCAGATAACCAAAGAAAATATCAATCTGACCTTATGCCATACTGGGGTAACCAATGTAAATATCAATTTGGCCTTGTGTCAGACTCAGGTAACCAAAGAAAATATCAATCTGACCTTATGCCATACTGGGGTAACCAATGTAAATATCAATTTGGCCTTGTGTCAGACTCAGGTAACCAAAGAAAATATCAATCTGACCTTATGCCATACTGGGGTAACCAATGTAAATATCAATTTGGCCTTGTGTCAGACTCAGGTAACCAATGAAAATATCAATCTGACCTTATGCCATACTGCGGTAACCAATGTAAATATCAATTTGGCCTTGTGTCAGACTCAGGTAACCAAAGAAAATATCAATCTGACCTTATGCCATACTGGGGTAACCAATGTAAATATCAATTTGGCCTTGTGTCAGACTCAGGTAACCAATGAAAATATCAATCTGCTCTTGTACCTTACAGAAGGAAATATTTGAAATAACAATTTGGTAACAGACTGAGCTGACCATTATGTATTTTGATCAGTTCTTGTGAAAGACAGAGGTAAGCAACGAAAATATCAATCAGATCATTTGGCGAACTGAAGTAACAATTTCAATATCAATCTTACCTTGTACCGTACTGAGGTAATCAATTATCAGTCTAATCTTCTCATCTTGGGGCAAGCATTTCAAATACTAATTTGATATTGTACCAGAAAGAGGTACCTATTCAAAATATCCATATTGCAGATGTTGAAGTCTTTTTTTGGGAGATCCAAGATATTTGAAGTCCTCAACTCTTTTAATGGATGTATTATTGAGTGACTTCAACTCGGATGGTTCAGGGGAGGTTGTGATATATTGTCTTACTCACGTTTCAATAGAGACCTACCTGGTTCGCTGCTATAAAAAAAGAAAGGAGTTACATAATATCAGTCCTTCTATATGGCAGTGAATGCTGGAAAATGTACTCACAGATGAAGAAGAGACTTGAAACAGCAAAACGGTGATTCTACAGAAAGATGCTGAGAATGTCATGGACCGAACATGTGAGCAACGACGAAGTTTTAGAAAAAATGGAAACAAAAAGGATATTTAATCGTAACGACAGGAAGAGACAGTTGAGATTTCTAGGGAACATAATGAAGAAAGGGGTTTGGTAAAATTTGATACTCACAGGGCGGATTGAAGGCAAAGCGGGCCAGAGCAAAACAAGGCGTAACCTATCTAGCGAGGCTGAGTAAATGAATGACAGAACTAGGTTTAGGTGATATAACAAAAAGACAAAATTGATTAAGTGTTACGAAAGAGAGGATATTTTGGAGAGCCATGATTGCCAACGTCCTGAAGGGCCACGACACATAGAAAATGATTCAGATTGTGTGAATGATGAATGGTCGGCAGAACTAGGTTTAAGGTAGATAAAAATAGTAAAATTTGCTAAGAGCTACAAAGGACAGGAAATTGCGGAGAGCCATGATCGCCAACGTCCTGAAGGGCCACGGCACATAAAAGAAAATTGACATAGTGTGAATGCTTTGCAAGACAGGGTTTAACAGAGATAACAAAAAGACAAAATTTGCTAAGAGCTACAAAGGATAGGAAATTGTGGAGAGCCATGATCATCAATGTCCTGAAGAGACACGGTACATAGAAGAAGATTGAGATAGTGTGAATGGTTGGCAGAACAGGGTTTAAGAGAGATAAAAATGGCAAAATTTGCTAAGAGCTACAAACGAGAGGAAATTGTGGAGAGCCATGATTGCCAACATCCTGACGGGCCACGGCACATGGAAGAAGATTCAGATTGCGTGAATGGTTGCCAAATCAGGGTTTAAGAGAGATAAAAATGGCAAAATTTTCTAAGAGCTAAGAGGAGAGGAAATTGTGGAGAGCCATGATCGCCAACGTCTTAAAGAGACACGGCACATAGAAGACGATTTAAAATCCTTACGATTTTTGTGCTGCTATTATTTGGCGCGAAAACAACCCATCGACTTTACAGTGAAACAGTAATAATCTCAATAAGTCGGTCTAGACCGCTCTCTAGTTCGCTTAGAAGTATGTTATATATGCGAGCCGTTTTTTGCTCAAATGTGTTTCTCTCGAGGCTGATGGGGGCAAAGCGACAAGTACAAAAATGACAGTGGAAATTGTTCATGTGTCCGATGGAAAATTACCGACAATTGAGAATTCCAGAAACTTCTCAGTTACTCTCGAGGAAGCGTGGGTCGGAGGAGCCGGTTGGAGGCGATGGTGGTTAGAGCAAAACAACAAGTTTCCTTTTTTCCTCATTTAATAAAAAAAAAAAAATTGGTAAAGAATTATTCAAGCGTATAGTGCTTTCTAGAATTGCAGAAATAGTAACTGGAAGACACACATATGCAAATAGGGGCGGCCATTCACACTGAGGCTGCGTGACTTAACAGCGACACATTTCGTCGGCATTTAATGCAGAACAGGTTTAGTCATTATTTCGGGAAAGTTGACATTAAAAAAAAAAAGAGAAAATTTCTTCTATGAATCTCGAAATAAATCGTTGACTTCATTCAGTCTCTCTCTCTCTCTCTATATATATATATATATATATATATATATGTAAAATTGTTCATTATCTATCTATCTATCTATGTCAAATTATTCATTATCTATCTATCTATCTATCTATCTATCTATTTTTAACACGTATTCTTATATAAATGTCAACTAGTTCATTATCTATCTATCTATCTATCTATCTCTAGCGCGTGTTCTCATATAAGTACCAACTGGTTGATTATCTATCTATCTATCTAGTTAGCTAGCTAGCTATTAATCTCTTCATATCTATCTATCTATCTGGGCGCCCCAAGGTGGCGTAATGGTGAGCAAGCTTGTCTCGTTAGAACAATTACGACTGAGTAGTGAGTTCGATCCTCACTGGGTTCCCCATACTTTCGGCCTTGTGCCACATCTAAGCTACGCTTGGAAAATCACTATCTTGATAAATGTCAACTGGTTGATTATCTATCTATCTATCTATCTATCTATCTATCTCGAAAGGCGACATTGCCACAAAGATGCAAGCGGGGTTATTGGGAGTGAAAGAGAATAAGAAGACTTCAGCAAGGAAAAAAAGGTCAATAAAAGAACAAGATATGAGATGGTAGCGGATGTCAACAGCTTTAGAAACCGACATTCAATAACATGGAAATGGTTTTGTTGTCAATACAGATAAATAACATTGATAGATATTGGAAATCTCAGGCAGAATATCAGTTGTGCAGTTCAAGACAAACCGAAAGAAATGTGAATGCATTGATATTAAAAGAATAAATTTTAAGTGAAATGAAACCTCGACCAAGCCATAGTATAGGTCTGTCTGAAAAGTAATGGGACTGGATGTGCTGTGTGAGCGATGGCATTGTCCATAGTAAACTCTTGCCACAGAGCCGGACGATCAATCAGCAAGTTTGCAAAGAGATCTCGTGACGTTTGTTTCGTTCTGTGTGCGAGAGAAGACGATAGTTGTGGCTGGACAAATCGTGTCTGCTTCATAATGACAATAAACAATGCCCTGGGCACCCGGCAGTTCCTGACCAAAAGAAAAAAATACATATCCTTACTGAAACAATCTCCCTATTCACCTGGTTTTGCTATAGGTGACTTTTTATTTTCCCCAACTTCAAGGGGGTGATCAAAGCGACTCATTTTGAAGGCAACGTAGCTGAGAGGCATCGTTTCTTCTTCGCCACGACAAGGTACTTGCTCACAACGCCCTGAGTACCCGGCAGTTCCTGGCCGAGAGGAACATCCCTATTCACCTGATCTTGCTGCATGTCACATTTCCTTTTCTCCAAGATCAAGGGAGACCATCAAGTATTGGGGGCCGTTTTGAAGGCGTGGTGACCATCAAGAAGGGCGTAACGACGGAGCTGAGGGACGTCCAAGGTGTATCCTTGAAGCAGTTTAAAGAAGTGTGGCAAAGAAGGATGGGAGAGTGCATTAGACTCGAGGTGGGGTTACTTTGAAGGGGGAATCATGTAGTTTGTTGTTTGGAAATGAAATAAATTGTTTGCGACACGAGTCCCGTTATTTTTCAGACAGACATCGTATTATGACGTAAAAAATGCACAACTTTTGACGAGTTCTTGTATACTTTAAGGGCCTTGAAAACAGCCTGGCCGAGAGGAACATCACCGTACTGGAACAAACTCGCTATTCACTTAATCTTGCTCCTGGTGACTTTTTTCTTTTCCCCAAGATCAAAGGGATCATCAAGAGGACCAGTTTTGAAGCCATTGAGGCCATCATAGCTGAGGGTCTCTATAAGAATCGATAGAAGTGTGGCAGAGAAGGATGGGAGAGTGCATTAGACTCAAGGTGGGCGGTTACTTTGAAGGGGAAATCATGTAGTTTGTTGTCTGGAATTGAAATAAATTGTCTGCGACACCAGGCCCGTTAATTTTCCGACAGATCTCGTATGCATTAAACAACGACATTGGAAGTACTATTGAAACATTTCTATCTGTCGTAACTGCTCTGATGAATTCCAAACAAGATACAAAGATACCTTGCAAAGAAATTGTGATACTTTCAAATACATTTGATTTTCTTCTCTTCACGTGTTCTCATATAAATACCAACTGGTTGATTATCTATCTATCTATCTATCTATCTATCTATCTATCTATCTATCTATCTATCTATGTGAAACTGTTCATTATCTATCTATCTATCTATCTATCTATCTATCTATCTATCTATCTATCTATCTATCTATCTATCTCTAACACGTGTTCTCATATAAGTACCAAAAGGTTCATTATCTATCTATCTATCTATCTATCTATCTATCTATCTATCTATCTATCTAACTATGTTCTATCTATAATCTATACCAACAGGTTCATAAGTACCATCAGGTTCTATCTATCTATCTATCTATCTATCTATCTATCTATCTATCTATCTATCTATCTGAAACATTCATAATCTATCTATCTATCTATCTATCTATCTATCTATCTATCTATCTCTAACACGTGTTCTCATAAAAGATGAAGATGACTCAGTTGAGTTGAAAGCTCGGACACAGTCATCATTTCGGACATCATTTTGTATCTGCAGGAACAATTTTGCGGAAAGTGATATCTTTAAACTAAGTTTCGTATAATTAATTTATGCGCTAGTCGAGAAGCTCTTATTATTAGTGTTAGACTGATATTTTCTTCTTTGTGCTTGTGTGTGTGTGTGTGTATCAAAGTCATCTTAAAATACGTAAGATGTTTTTATTTCATTTTAAATTTTATTTTATAATTACATTTTGTTAGACTTCAACTGGGTGTCCAGATTCAGTTCCCCAAAGACAAAGCTAGTGACCTTCTTCAATCGCCGATCAGAACTTTCATTAATTACAATGAACGAATGTTCCCTCAGGGAGATCCCATGCCTTGACCGCCTATTAGAACTTAACTTCAAATCGAACTAAATACGATCCACCGCTGAAGATAAAATGATCGGCTGTCTGTACCGCTCCAGTAAGTACTTGACCCCTGCTATCCTCTACCTTTACAAGAACCAGATCAGGACAAAAATTGAGTACTGCTTGCCATATATGGGCAGGAGCTCCACTTTCCACTCTTCGCGTCCTTGTAGGCGATGAATTATTTTTCACTCTGAAACTTCTTTCTCAAAGTCGAGACGTCTCAAGCCTCTCGCTGCTCTTTCGCTATTTTCATGGAGAGTATTCAGATAAACTACAATTCTTAGTTCCACTAGTTCAAACCTTTACAGCTAAGACCCGCCAGGCCACACACATCGTAGCAACTCACCCTCATTCCCTTCATATTCCACTTGTGAGATCTACTCGAGCGGCTTCTTCCCACGAATAGCTATCTTGTGGAACTGACTCCCAAGAGGCAGCTTCCCCCGATCTGTTTAAGTTAACCGTCATCTTTCACTCATATCCGCATAAGCTTACTTCTTACTCTGTAATCCTTTACTTCAAGTGGTCACAGAGACTTGTACAGTGTGAACATCAATGTAAATTAAAAGAAAAAGCAACCAAACTATGAAATATATGAGAGTCGAAGGAGTCCCGAGCAATGATGAGATATTCCAGCATAATAATGCTCTATCATTGGGCGAAAGTTGAAAAAAATATATTTTTTTGAGCATTCTGGAGACTTTCAATGAATAGTGTTACCATTACATTTGTATAAGATGAACATGATGGAACATTTATGGGATGTCAGGGAGAGGTTTCATGGATCACAAGATCCTGCAAATATCAAGATGACATCTAAGGAAACATCTCTCTCTGTTTCTCTCTCTCTCTCACCATGAGACGCGGGTTCGAATCTCACCGTGGTCGATTTGTTAGGTAGGTTACTTTTCGATGCTATCGGCCTGGAAAATGCCTAAAAACCATTCCACGGGGTGTGAATGAAATTGGACAGACGGAACACTTTGGGGAGACGTCGATGGTTGTGGTAGCGTACTGGACTTGTTCAGAAACCGTAACAGAAAGGTCCACTCAGCATAATTGCAGTATAAACCCCAGGTGCGTTGTGTGGGCCATGAACAAGCGAAAATGTACCTGAGCAAGCTTCTACAACATAGATTGGCAAACCGGCCTAGTAGACAAAAACACTCGGATACGAGCAGTCAGCCATTATATATATATATATATATATATATATATATATATATATATATATATATATATATATGTGTGTGTGTGTGCGTGTGTATGTCTGTGTGTGTGAGTGTGTGTGTTGATTGCTCTATCTTCCCAGATGACTGCAGCCTTGCCCATCAACACCTACATTCAATCTAAATAATTGTTTTTTCTCGAATGACTTCGAAGGCGGCTCTTCAAACCAGCAGCTGGTTTGCAAAGCCCATAGCATAGATAAAAGATGTGCTCCAGAGTCTTCACAGAGTTAAGCTGATATTGTTGTGGTAGGTCATCCTTGTGCACCACCATATGCCTCTTCAGTCCAGATGTCGATTCACATACTTCCCTGCAGAACATACATGTAGTATCACCGGGTCATGGAGGTAACACAGAATGAGGTCGTCTTTCATGTGATGTTAGAGGATTAACATACCCAGCTTTTGACAGAAGGATACGAGCACATGTCTCACATTTCCAGCTTTCAGCGCTGTTATCCAAGCTCCTGGTAATACCTTTCCTCAAATCCATTTTAAGTGCTGCATGTGCTAAATTCTTTTCCTCTGCTGATTTACATCCTTCTACAACATTTATTGCGATAACTAGCAAGGTTTTCCCAGTCATCCACTCCCAACCCTAAGTTCTTTCAAGTTATTCCACACACAGTTCTTAAATCTCTTTTTTTGGTTTATGCTGACGGCGCTTACCATAAGCTCACCATAAAATAGCTGCTTCGGCAACCTACTGTCATCCGTGCGCACTACATATCCGGCCCTTCCCATCTGGTTTTTAATCAGTAAGTTTTCTATGCTTGGACAGCAGGCACTGAGAAGAAAAGTGGTGTTTAGTATCAAAGACTGTCATTTTATGTTAAGCATTCTCTTTAGACAATTTTAATGAAAGCGCTTAAGCCATTTCAGGTGATGACGGTAAATCGTCCAGATTTCTGAAGAGTACAACATGGCGGTCAGTACACAAGTTTGGTAAACTGTCACTTTAGTACTGCTGGTGATGCCTCATAAACCATAAACGTTTCTCTAACTTTCTAAATGCAACGAAGGCCTTTTACATTCGAATATTTACTTCAGCATTAATGATCCTTCTCAAGACAATATACTGCCAAGGTATACAAGTGTATCCACAACACCTAATCGAGTGCCATTGACATATATGTTTGGTTCAATGTAAGGTATACAAGGAGGAGGAATGAACATTACTTTGGTTTTCTTCAGGCTTATGGTCAGTCCAAACGCAGCAGCAGCTGAAAAACGGTCCATCAGTATCTGTACACCCCTCTCAGAATGTGCGACAATGTCATCGTCATCAGCATACAGTAGCTCACGCACAAGGATATTGAAGGCCTTGGACTTGGCGTTAAAACTTCGAAGATTGAATATCTTAGCAATCGTTCGAAATCGAAGGCTAATTCCAATGTTGCAATCATGGAACTTGTATGAGAGAGTCACAGCAAAGTAAATAGAGAACAAGGTAGGCGCGGGAATGTCTTCCTGCTTAACACCGTTGTCAATGACCATTTCACCTGACAATTCCCAGTTAACCGTGACAAAACCCTTCATATTACTGTATACCCTGATCCTAAACAAGGGAACTTAGCTAGCCAGATCATAATTGGGGTGCACAGACACCTTGGTCTCAAATATGGCTCACAGATAACCTGATCGTAAGCAGGGTAGACAGATATCCAGATTCTAAATATGGCGCCATGATTCTAAGGTGTACCCTGATTCTTAATAGTGATTCACAGCTATCTTGAATCTAAGTAGGGTGCCTAGGTACCTTTATCATAAGCAGAGCGCACAGGTACCCTGATCCTAAGGAGGACGCACGGCTATTCTGTATCGAAGTGCTTTACCTTTATTCTAAGCTGGTCGCCGAGGTACCCTATTCCTAAATAGGGCGCACGGTTATCTTAACATGGCGTTTAGATATCTTCGCCTTGGTACCCCGAGGTACCACGATTCTAAATATGGTGCACAGTTATCCTGAATCTAAGGTACCCAGGTTCTTTTATCCTAAGCAGGTCGCTGAGGTACCCTGACTTTAAATAGGATTCAAACTCTAAGCAAGGCACGGAGATAACTTTATCTCCATCAGGGCGCACACATATCCAGATCCTAAACAGGGCACCCAGATAACTTTATCCTAAGCAGGTAGCTTAGGTATCCCGGTGCTAAATAGGGCATCCAGATACATTTATCCTAAGCAGGTAGCTGAGGTACCTCGATCCTAAACAGGGCACCCAGATTTATCCTAAGCAGGTAGCTTAGTTATCCCGGTGCTAAATAGGGCATCCAGATACCTTTATACTAAACAGGTAGCTGAGGTACCCCGACCCTAAACAGGGTGCCCAGATAAGTTGATCATATGTAAGGCGCGCGGCTATCTTGATCGTAAGTAGGGCGCACAAATAAACTGTTTCTTGTATCGCAAATATACCTTGATCTTAAACAGGGCGCCCAGATACCTACTCATAGTTCTATGTATCAACCTATATGTCCCATTATTACGCACGTATGTTGTAAGATTAAATTCTGTTTATTAAAATTAGGTTATAGCTTTCAGTAATTCTTTACAATTATTTTTTATATTTACGAAATATATTTCGTGCAGATGTCCTTTCTAATTTCGACACCATTAGTTCCAGCTTGTCTAACACATGACCAGTGGAAAATAAAATCCTTGTATTTGCGAACCTGATATTGACTTACTAGTTTGACGTGTGTGTGTTAGCTTTAAAGAACATATTTAAACGTGGAGAAGAAGTCGTCCAAAAGATTTGTGTAAAGGAATTAACATTTATTCATGCAGAGGTTTAATTTCTGGAATGCAATAAACAAACAAATGAGGGACATTCGACGCGTAGCTTATTTCGTAAGGTGATCTGCCTGTATATATGAGAAAATAATTTAATGGCGTGCCTCTTTGGCTAGGAGAAAAAAAAAATGCAAATACAGTGGAACCTCGGTTTACGAATTTAATTCGTTCCTGAAGCCCGTTCGTAACCCGAAATGTTCTTAAACCGAAACTATTTTTCCAATAGGAATCAATGTAAAATGATTTAATCCGTTCCTGGTCGCAAGATGATTGCTTATTTAAACTTTAACAACAATAGTTTGTGGACAAGTTTATACTCAAAACTAATGAAAATCATTAAATCTACGGAAAAAATAAATCCAATACTAAACAGATAAAATCTAGACGAATATTTTAATTTTACCGTATCTGTAAGTAAGATGGCGTAAGTGGAAGGGGATGGAAAGAAATATTATTGTTTGGAAAAGGAGAAGGAAAGACATGATCGTCTCTTTATTTGTAAGAAAAATACAGATCATTGATTTTGCC